AGGGTGTTGGGGCAACCCCTGAATTGCTCCACTCTACTCTGCCGCGCCTCTGGCTTCAGATGGGTGGACTGAGTTGTCACCAGTTGTCACTCCTTTGAAATGTGAACTGGCACTTCTGCAGTGAACAGTTCTGCACAACTCCTCAATTATTCTTTCTAGTAGTGCTAGGGTGGCTAGCATTTTCTGTGAAGAGCCTGCTAGTTACTACTGCAGGCTCTGAGCTGCCATTATAATACAAAAGCGGTCCAAACAATATGTAACAAATAATTGTGGCTCTGTTCCAATCAACCTTTATGAACAGGAAGTTTGCTATAGTATGCTGACTCTTGTATTACACCCTCAGTGGGTCTATATGGGTTACATGCAGTTTTTGCCTACTCTCTGAGAAACTTCACCGACCTAAAGTTTAAGCTGGTACCAGAGTTCTAGCCTAAGTTGCAAGTAGTTGCTATGTGAGTCACATGCTAGATAGACTAGGCAAGAAAAGTGTAGCAATAAATAAATGAAGTGATGCATTTAACAAATATATACCTGTTGTTTTGTGTGGTATTCTGCAATAAATGAAGAGCAATTTACAAGTAAAATTCATTTGTACTTTTTTATGAATCCAAAGCAAGCATTTTGGTGATCAAGAAGTAGTAAGAGTTGGGTGTTGGTGGCATGCACTTATAATCCTAAACTACTCAAGAGGCTGAGAAATTAGGATTTTAGTTTGAAACCAGCCTGGGTAGCAGAATCTGTGAGACTCTTATCTCCAATTTACTAACAAAAAGCTGGAAGTAGAGATATAGCTCAAGTGGTAGAGCCTTGAGTAAAAAAACTCAGGAACGACTCAGGGTCTAAGTTCAAGCCCTAGGACCAACACACAGAAAAAGTAGAAAACATAGTGAGGATGAGGATGTGGTGGTGCTGACATAAAATGAGAGAAGGAATGCTGGGGCCAGAAACCTAATTATTTGCCTTGTGCTGGTTCCTACTCAGGCTCCCAGACTCTCAAAGTTGTAGGTGTTTGAATCTGCTACAAACATAGCAGATTCTTTTGATGAAACTATGATAAAATAATTAATAGATTAAACTAACCATGAAAATACTTGAAATAGCCACAGTATATACATCTTTATGTAGCATTTGGCTTGGAAGTTAGCTCCTTGTTAGTATGGATCATTCATTCATTTATTCATTTATTTTGTGGTGCTAGGGTTAGCTCAGTGCCTTGTGCATGCTAAGCAAGCGCTCTTATTACTGAGCTATGTCTTCAACATCTTAGCATAAATTTTAACTGTTTATTGCTTTGAATCCCTCATCCCTCAAACAATACCTGTCGGTAGTAGATGGGAATGAGTAGACGAATATTCACACATTGTGCTGTAATGTATATATGTATATTATATATATATATATATATATATCTGTATCATGTAGGTATAGTAGGGAATGAAGAATACAATGCAAACTCAATTTTACTGTATTTTTTTTCAAAATTATACAGACAGTCACATACATAGTTGCATTTGAATATAATATGTCACTATTGTACTCTAGTTTTACACACTTAAGAAGAAAGTTAGCTGATTTAGTTAGCTAAGTGTTTTATTTTTTCACTTAGGCTGTTAGCAGTCCCTGAGTGTTTGCATTTCCCATGCTTGGGGCTGACTTACCACTGTCTTCCTCCTGGCTTATGCATTGCTCTTGGGAGAGCAGATCTTCCCCACTGGTTGCCTTTTCTGGATCTTTGATAGCTATTCTCAAATCCTTATCTGTAGTATAGTCTGCCAGATGAATTATTGCCACTTCCTGATCCCTAAATGCTGTCATTCCCTCATAAATTTGCCCCTCCAGCCTTGAAACAAGGATTCCTAATCTTGGGTACACCTCCTAATTTATCTTTATTTTCAGAATGAGTTGTGTCTAGTAAGAGGGTCCACCACATTGTCCCCATTCTCATTGCTATTGCTTCATTCATGAGCTACATATTTTTTCACTGGAATTCTTTCCTGATTCTCTTTCAAAATCTGATATGATATGATATGATTTGCATATATGTTCAGCCTTTAGTTTTACCCAGTTCTCTCAATGGAAGGTAAAATTTACTGAATCCATTCTGTTCCATTGGAAGAGCCCTTCTTCCCATTATAATGGCTGTCTCCCATGATAACATTTGGACTGAAAGTACATTTACTGGTTCCATTTTCTAAGTGTTTAGCCATGACAGACACAAATAGAAAAGCTGTGAACTCTAGTGTCTGTCTTTGCATGCTTTTGATGTTCTGAATACTTATTGTTTGGGGACAAGAAATGCGTGGTTTGAATGATGGCAAGGTCAGGTAAAATCATGCTTATGTATGCATGCTCCTATGTATGCCAGTACTTAGGACCTGGGCAAGGTCCCTTAGCTTTTTCCATTTGAGGTTAGTGCTCTACCATTTGAGCCACAGTTCCACTTTTGGCTTTTTGCTGGTTAAATTGGAGATAAGTATCTTACAGGGGCTTTCCTGCCATGGCTGGCTTTGAACTATGATCCTCAGCTCTCAGCCTCCTGAGTAGCTAGGATTACAGGTGTGAGCCACTAGTGCATGGCCTCTTTTTATGGATACATGATAGACTTTTCTCCTTAAAGGGAAATGTCCAGGTACCTAAGCAAAAGGGATGTGAGTACTTGTTGTTATCATTTTAAAATAACTTTCAGGTCCCACAAAAGGCTTCAAGGATGCTCACTCGCTGGGAACTGGACCTGCATGTTCATTCTATCCAGGGGCTGGTGGAGGCTGACTCATTTTTTCCCCCATGTCACAGCTCTTATTCACTATTAAATGGACATCACTATCAGAGAGCCTAGAATGACAGAGAAAACACTACCTTGGGAAACTAGTAGAATATCATTAAGGAGACTGGGAGTGGCTTACCAGAGATTCTTTTGAACTGAGAGATGATTAAATAATTTGCAAATCTCGTTCTTCTAGTTTCTGTGAGTTTCATTTATTGCTCATGCTGAGCTGCCCAAAGCATTCTCAGCAACTGGGTTTCATTCCCTGCTCTAGAAATGTAAAACTAATTTGTTTTACTTGTATCATGTTTTCATCTCTCAAATCAGGATATCCCAGAACCACAATCATCTTCCTTGCCATTTCTGTAAATGCTACTCACATCTGTACATTTTCCAAGTGGGCAACATCTGGTCCTCTGGCCAATTAGACCAAAAGGCCTTTCTGTAGTTGTCACCTTACTATTTCTTGATATGTATTTGCTCCCAAATGAAGTTATTGGGGGCAGGGAGGGAGAGGGTCATTGCTAGCATCTCTCCTTTGTTGGCAGAGTCATGTATCACGTAGAGCTTCTTCTAGCTTCCTTCTCCTTGAGCTTAATACTTATGTTCATGATTGGAAATGTTTCACGAAGTGACTATATTAGTAAAAGTGAATTGTTCTTGTGTTTTGTTTTTGTTTTTTAATTCTGTTATGGAGGGGGGAATTGAAACTCAGTTTTTCTCCTCTTCCTATCCCCCCTCCCCCAGTATTTGAGATTAAACCCCAGGCCTAGCATGTACTAGGTGAGTACAGCCCTTAGTATTTTGAGACAGGCTTTTAGTACATAGCCCAGACTGGCCTTGAATTGTCTCAAGTGCTGATATTACAAGCCTATACTACCACATGTGGCTGGAACTCATTTCTTTCTTTCTTTTCTTTCTTTCTTTCTTTCTTTCTTTCTTTCTTTCTTTCTTTCTTTCTTTCTTTCTTTCTTTCTTTCTTTCTTTCTTTCTTTCTTTCTTTCTTTCTTTCTTTCTTTTTTTGTCGGTCATGGGGCTTTAACTCTGGGCCTCAGCATTGTCCCCTAGCTCTGTAGTTCAAGGCTAGTGCTCTACCACTTGAGCCATGGCACCACTTCCTGTTTTATGGTAGTTAATTGGAGGTAAGAGTCTCATGGACTTTACTGCCTGGGTTGCCTTTGAACTGAGATCCTCAAATATCTGCTTCCTGATTAGCTAAGATTACAAGCATGAGCTACTGGCCCACAGCTAGAACTCATTTCTTATTGAAGAGTACCACGGAAGGATTTGCCTTATTTGAAGTTAATTTGTAGGAATTGGTTGGTAAAGTGACTAGAGCATCTAATGAGTTCTAAGATGCTTGGTTACCTCCCAGATTTAGACTGAAGTACAGCCATAAGTCAGTGATTTAGACAATGAGTCTGACTCCATCCCCTGAAAGTTCTTTTTACTTATTGAATAATGCTTTAGAATTAAGTAAATAAGCTTAATGATTACTGTGAGTTTTGGAAATTGGGGTAAGCATGTCACAAAGTTTATCTGACATCATTCTTATTGAAACTCTATGAGATCACTTCGTTTTATAGATGGGGAAATTGAGACAAGGGGGAGATAGGACTTACCCAAGTGAGCAATGAAGTCAGGATTGGAAGTCCACATGAACTATTTATTCTTACTTGGTTTGTGGCTTAGAGTTGGATACTGTGAAGGATGGGAGAAAAAATAGTTTTCAGAGGCTGAGCAGAAACCACATAGACTCAGTGTTTGAGCCTGGCTAACCCTCCATGTCCTCACATGCCCAGACTAGACTTAAGAGGCAACACCCTTGTGTGTAGAATCTGTCTCTGATGTATGTTTTCTTTCTTCAAAACTGAGTTGGAGTTTGGAACAGCAAATATTTAATCAGAACAAATTCCTCTTGCTAAAATATCCTTTTGGCTTGCTCAACTTGGAAGTTTGTTTTTTCTTTGCCTAAAAATACTTACCACTCACTAAGTGAAAGCTAAATGGTGCTAGGTCACCTACAAAGCATAAAAGATACTTGATTAGTATTAGGAGAAAGGTGTTATTTGCCTTCTTTATTAGGATGAAGTGTGCAATGCCACATGATTGCCCTTTGATGAGCCTGTCTGGGCGCAGACAGAGATGGACTGGAGCAATCAAGGGAGGGGTATCCTGGGAATGGTGGCACAGAAGCTGATGTGTAGGGGGAAAAAAGGAGAGCAGGGTTGGGAGTATGAAGGGGGAAAAAGAAGATAAGGTGAAAAATGGGCTACTGGTGATGGACGAGGTACCAAGGTGAATATATTAGAGTGGAGTGATAAGGTTCCTGATCAAGGACCGAGGCTGACACAAAGCAAAAGATAAGCAAAGCTTTTATTTTGCTCCAAGCAGCGAGAATTAAACTGACTGGTCAGGGCTGTCTCTATGGAGAGAGCGACCCCTCCCAGTCTTATAGGCTATCTTTTATAGGGCAAAACCACAAATCATAAACTAACTAATCATTAACTCTTATTGGTTAAAACAGGAGGGTTACATATGTGCTTTTTACTGATTGAACACCTCCACCTGGCCTGTCTCAACCTTGCTTTTTGGCTTCGTCTCTGGGAGCTGGCCATTTTTTGGAAATTGTTTTTCTTTCTTTCTTTTTTCTCTTACAGACAGCGTCAGCTTGCCCTTACTGCACAAACAGCAGATGCGGGCAAGGTCAGCTCGTGCTTATACTTTACAAACTAGATGGCTGCTTATACAAAATGGAGTTACTTTGGCTAAACTGGTCCTGACATTCCCCCCATATCTTTGAAACTGAGTCAAGTTCCTTGACTCTTTAGCCAATTTTGTCCTCCTGTTGTAGGGGGTTATATTGAGCCTGTAGGACTAACATTTTTACTGCTCCAATTTTCTTTTGTACAAATGACATTAAGGCATTTATAATATGGGGGCCAAAAGCAACATTAGTAATAATAGGACCAGGGGTCCTGCTATTGCTGATATTAGGGATGTCATCCTTGGGGACCAGCTGAATAGGCTTTCATACCATCCTTGAGAGTTTTTGCGCCATTGTTTGCGTTTATCTAGTCTCCTTTTGATAGCTGCCAGACTGTTTTTGATGACCCCCCATATGATTTACCCAAAAACAGCATTTTGACCAGATCATGGCATCTGTGAATACCCTGTTCCAAGACACATCACTTCTTTGGCAGCTATAATAATCCAAGAGGAATCTCTTATCTATCTTCTCCAACCAGGAAAGCACAGGTTGCATGTGGGCACTGGGATGGAAGGCAGCTGGTGTGTTCTGTTGGACAGCCTTGCAAGCCTGTTTTACTACAGTGGGTCTAAAGTAGGGTCAAAATAGAACCTCGCAAATGCTGAGCTGAGCTTTGGATCACTGGTCTGTACTTCTAACACTTGTGATAGGTCTGATGTTGTTACTGTAGAAACTGATCATTCACTTCTCTGGACCCTGACTATCAAAACTAACCTACTGGCTGGAGTCCATCAGTACCATACCTTATCTGCCAAAGGCTTATTGCTCAACACAAACAATTGATCTGGATTCGCAGAAATCAAAACTTCTCTATGGGATGGCACCCAGTTTTGTTTGTTTTTGTTTTTTGCCAGTACTAGGGCTGGAACTCAGGGCCTGGGCCTCTCCCTGAGATTCATTTGCTCTACCACTTGAGCCACAATGCCACCTCCAACCTTTCCTGTTTATGTGGTATGGAGAAAACAAACCCAGGGCTTCATGCATGGTAGGCCCTGGGCCACATTCCCCCCCAGCCACCCAGTTTTAAAGATGATAAGATCCTAGGATAGAGCTCAGTGGTAGATAGAGTACTTGCCTAGCATGCCTAGTCTTAGGTTTGAACCCTAGCACTGAATAAAAATTAATAATAATAAAAAATAAATTTAAAAATTTTTTGTTAAAAAAGTCTGAGTCATCTTCCTTATTACAGAGATTAGCCTTGGGTTAAATAAGGAGAATAGGAGTCCTTAAAGAGGACTTTCGGATTGGTGATTCTCCTTTCTGTTTCCTATAAGGCCAGGATGCTAAAATTTTGTGCTCCTTCCTTATTTCCTTCTTTTATAGTCCCTGCTGCCATTTCATTGTTTTCATTTATCAGCTTATTCTGCCATCTGCAAAATATGTAGGTCAAAATTCCCCATCCTGGTACTATCGTGTTCCACTAGCAATGCTGATGTACATCCAAGCAAGATTCTAGTTTTCAGCCTTTAAATTGGATATTCACACTGGCAATTTCAGATATCACTGGAGGGAGTAAATTCCACAAGTTTAGTTGAAATTGTATAAGATATTCTATCCCTTCCTCCTCCACCAAGTTCTCTGTCTGTACTTAGGATCCAATCCAGAAACTCATACATGGTAGACAAATACCCTACTTCTCAGCCCAAATCTTTTTATTTTAAAAAGTCATTAGTAGTATATCTACTATATGTAGTACTATGTGAATATATATGTATGTGCATTTATGTGTGTATGTGTGTGTGTATATATATGTACTTATATTACACATATGTTTAAAGATTGAGAGGGGGAAAAATGGGAGAGAGTGAGGGAAAGGGCAACATTGTCCAGAAAGAAATGTACTCTATACCTGACTTTAGTAACTGTAATCCCCCTATACATCATCTTTATAATGACAATTTAAGATCAGATTGAGAGAAAGATTAAGAAAAGGTCTTTAGAAGATAGATTTTCATCTCGGTCTGTTTCATTGTGCACACAGTGAGTTTCCATGGTGGATTCTGACTTCAGGCTGAATGAAGACTCATAACAGTTGGTCGGTCTCTAATCCAGTTATAACAGACACTCCTTCAACTTTATTTTTCTATAGATTCCTTTCTTTGAAGATTTTTGTAAAGGCATCAAAGCTGGTGACACTTGTGAGAAGCTGGTGGGGTATTCTGCCGTGTATAGAGTTTGTTTTGGAATGGCTTGTTTCTTCTTTGTCTTCTGCCTAATCACCCTGAAAATCAACACCAGCAAAGGCTGCAGAGCCCATATTCACAATGGGTAAGTTATCTGTTCTGTTTCATGGAGATTGTCTTCTCCATTACATTCCACTCATCAAATCTCAACTGCTCCTCCTCCAGTTAAAATTGTTCTTACTGATTTAGGGAAAGGTGGAGTTGGGCCTAAGAAGCATGCTTATTTGGCTTATGACCTATAGTGCTATTGTAATACCCGGTACCATAAGGAGAAATCTGTCAGAGACCAAGTATTTATTTCTTGCACCAAGATCTTCCTGGTGCCACCCTCCCCCCTTCCCATCTCCCTTTGTGTCATTTTCACCTCTGCAGTGAACTGGAGTTTTGTGTAATTAGAGGTCAAAGTAAGTGTGCCTAATTGTGGGAAAAGGCATTCTGCAGTCATGTAATTACTTCCCCTCCATTTGGAGAGCACACTAGCAATGGCAGAATCATGGGTTGACATGCTACCGTACAAGCTTTTTTTGTTCTTATTTGAATATCATTTGAATACATTTCCTTTTTTTTCTCTCTCTCTCTTCTTTCTTTCTCAGCTTTTGGTTCTTTAAGCTTCTGCTTCTGGGAGCCATGTGCTCAGGAGCATTCTTCATTCCAGATCAGGAGACCTTTCTGAATGGTAAATATACATTGGGTATTCAGAGATACTTGTTTATTTTGTTTTATCCATCTTGTGTAACTGTTCAGAGCTGTAGCTGGGCGACTTTGATATTGTTAATTACTTTCAGTGGCTTAAAAGAATTCTCCCATTTACTTGCATATACTCCTCTCTTTTACTCTCCCTTAGCCCAGGCAACCTGTGAAAGTTCCTTCGGTTACTCTTATTAGCTGAAGAATTGAAATGATAATTTTAATGTTATTGGCCTGAAGGGAAAATGAACTTTAAAATGTGCTTGAAAACTAGTCAAGGAGAGACATGGTTCATTCTAAACAGGAAACCATAGTTGTTTGTTTGTTTGTTTTAACAAAACTTTCTTTGTTGTTGTTATTGTTGTTTTTGTCATGGGACTTGAACACTGGACCTGAGTGCTGTCCCTGAGCTCTTCAGCTCAACGTGAGTGCTCTACCACTTGAGCCACAGCACCACTTCCAGTTTTCTGGTGGTTTTATTGGAGATAAGAGTCTCACACCCTTTCCTGCCTGCCTGGGCTGGCTTTGAACCATGATCCTCAGATCTCAGCCTCTTGAGTAACTAGGATTACAGGCATGAGCCACTGGTGCCTGGCTCAAAATTTTCTTTATGTGAAGGTCTATAACATAAATTTTATTCCTTTCTGCTAGAACTCATAAGGTTCATTTAATATGAAGACTTTTGTCATAGCTAAAACAGGGCCTCCTTATTCTTTGATCTCAGGAAAGAGGGGAACCTGATTTCAATATTTAACAATGTTCTGTTCAACACCAAAGGACTTACTTTCCTAATTAAAATAGTGAAAACCCACTGCCAAATGATAAGGAGCAGCCATATTCCCTCAGATGGTTATATATGAGGGTCCAGCTAAAATTTTAGGATGATACTAGCTTTTCAATAAGCTTATTTTAAAATTTATTTTATTTTTATTAGCATATACTAACTGCACAAAGTAGTAGGTTTCATTGTTTTTTCATTACATGCATATAATGTCTCTATGTAACGTTGATTATATTCTCATATACTTCTTAAGAATATTTTATTCAAGACAGACATGATGGTTGCATACCTGTAATCCTCACACTCAGGAAAGCAAGAAGATAATTTCTAGATTAGTCTGAGATAATAAAGACCTGCCTTCCCCTCCAAAAAAGGAAAGAGAAACAATTATGTTCTGTCAAGTCTTACTTTTACCTATTACTATTAATTTTTGCTATTCTCCACTAAAGTCCTTTTATGTGTATTTAGGGTAGTTTATTTAGAATGAGAAGAGACTTAGAAGTCCTCAGCTTCACTTTGTGATTTTTTTTTTTTTTTTTTTTTGTCGGTTGTGGGGCTTGAACTCTGGGCCTGGGCGCTGTCCCTCAGCTCTTCAGCTCAAGGCAAGCGCTCTACCACTTGAGCTACAGCGCCACTTC